CCCGAGCTAACTAGCAATCACACCTGCCAGCAGTCAGCTGACTGTAAGGGGCAGGGCCTGGCCCTCATAAGGCCCAGGGACTGAGGCCAGGCTGGCAGTTACCCGCCAGCAGCCAGACAGAGGGGAGCTCTTGAAGCTAAGATGCGAGAACCGCTGGTGCTACTCAAGCCGAGTAAAGGATGGCGGCTCCGGGACATTGGAGCAATGTTGTTATAGCCAGGAGGCCTTAAGTTAAGTTGTAGCCAAGAGGCTTGTCTTTGCTTTATTGTTATGTATTACACTGGCGGTTTGGGTGAGGCTATAAGGGGTTGGAGGAGGCCTCATTGGGGACTCACAGCGGAGTGTGAGGACCCCAGCGCCAGTGCAGGCGCAGCATAGGGGGTACATAGACCCCAGCCCCAGAGAGGGGGGCACTACTGAGAAGCCCTGGTGCGAGCGTGGCAAGCCCCAGAGAAGGGGTACTACTGAGAAGCCCCAGTGCGGGCGTCGCGAGCCCCTGAGGAAGGGCATAGCCCTGCGGTAAACCCCGGAGAAGGGCGTAGTACTGCAGTAAACCCCAGAGAGAGGGGGTAGTAGTGCGGCGAGCCCTGGAGAAAGGGGGTAGCAGTGCGGTGGGCCTGAGAGACAGGTGGCTTGATTGAGAAGTCCCAGAGTGGGCACAGAAGGCCCCAGGAAAGGGACAGCATTAGAGGGAGAGCACCAAGAGAGGGGCGGTGTTCTTAAGAAGGCCCAGACGGGGCACGGAGCGCCCCCAGAGAGAGGGCGGCGGCACAGAGAAGGCCCCAGAGAGAGTGGGCAAGTGTGCTTTGACAGAACAACGTCTATGCCAACTGCGAGGCTATAAGGGGTGGTTGGAGCCACGCATAGCCCCTAAGGCTAGGGTGCCCCTAAAGCACCCATCATACAGTGGGACCCATGAGGGGCCCGGGAGTCCATGGGGACAGAAGCCACAGCGAACCGTGACCAAGAGGGTGTAAGGCAGCCTCCCAACTTTATCTAAACATCAAAGACATGGCGGGCGAGAATCTGAGGGTGCCCTTGGGCCAACTTGGCATGGAGGAAGGGGCCTTAAGGGGATCACGGCCCTCCTGTAGGACCCCGCCGTGACAAGGGGTACCAGGGGGTTGGGGGACTATGGGTTGGGCACATGGAGTACAGGCAGGGCCAGGGGGCTGTGGATTGAGAGTGAGGGGTATCAGTGGGAAGAGGGGCTGCAGGTTGGGAGTGAGGGGCACCAGCATGGTCTGGGGGCGGTGTACTGTTGGTCAGGAATCAAGGGCGGCAGCAGAGCTGGGGGGGTATGGCTTGTGAGTGAGGGGTGGGGCAGAGCAGTGGCAGGGCACAGGCATTACTACCCCCACCCCCAGTCATATTACCCCCTCCCCCCAACAGGTATCCCCCTTTTTTAAACTGGAAATATGGTAACCCTAGTGTTTCCACACCTAAAAACGACGGAATTTGAATAAGATTTCTAAATCTGATGTGTTATAAGTCTGATCCTGTGGGCCTAGCTCAAACAAAACTCATGTTAAAGTTAGTGGGGGATTTGTCAGAGTTCAGGCTTGATGATTAAAGAAGCTTAAACTCTTCAACTGTTCATGGACAAAAATAGCATACACTAGTCCTGCCAGAGAGAGTGTTGTGGTTCTCTAAAAGAGTTTGCTCTTCCCTGTCATTAATTATAATGGATTTGTTTTTATAAAATGACACTAAAGATATCTTACAAAAGAAATTCATTGAAGTGTTATTTGAAAATGTCTTTATTGATTTAATATCAACATTCTACCTCTAATGAATGTTGTATAAAATCATCATAAAAACAAAAGAATACAAAGAATTAGAAAAGTTTAGAACTAGTCTCTTTTTACATGTGAAAAAACATACATAATTCAGTTCAGAAAATTGCCTTGTAAACTATAGGACGTAGGACACTTGCATAAATATTTAGAATTAAGTGATAATGATGCATGTGCATTTTCTCTGTTGAGTAACTAAAGGTATCTTTGTAATCTTTCTTTCTCAGTCTCATGTTAATTTCAACTTTAGTACCCCACTATTAAGACACACATGCAAGCTATCAGTACCCATCAAACAGAATAAATCAGTGCCTATTCATCATACTTAATTGAAATGCACATGTATTTGTTTATGAAATTCATTTGAGAAACTTCAAAGAGAAATGTTAATTAGACACAGAGGGCCTGAATCCACTCTCATTTCCACCAGTGTAAAGTAAAGGCAACTCCACAGAAGTCAGTAGATTTACAGTGATGTGAGTAAGGGAACAAGACCCAGAGCACAGGATAACAAAAAAATAACTTTTACAGCGTTGAACAGAAGTTTCCACAGATATACTCACTGGATCTGGAAGGGGTAGTTGGGACTTACAGGGCACTTTGTTAACAGAACCAGCCTTTGGTCCCAAGAAGAAGAATCTCAGCGTTTGTTTAAAAAAAAAAAAAAGTTTCAAGTCCTTTGCTTCACAGAGAGCATTGTAAAGATGAGCCAATGCACAGTGCAAACCAGTTGGGAGGGCTGAAAAGAACTAGCAGCTGGGCTCTTCTGCAATCAGTGTCCTAATGCAGTAAAGCAAAGCATGTGCTTAATTCTCAATTACTTCAATATAGCCACCTGTTTAATGTGAAATGCATGCCTAAGTGCTATGCTGAGTTGGACCACAGGAGCTAGTTGCACCCTTGTGAGGTTGACATGTAGATGAGCATGCGCTCACGCATACATACTTTTATATACAATTACTCAGTTAAGTTTGGCTCTTCTATCTCTAAAAATTTGATCTTTCCTCAGGATTCTTTGGCTGTCCCTATACACAGCAGCATAACCATGGGACACCTTGATTCTGGAGAAAATTGTTGAGAAGGCTTGCTTCAAAATAATAAGACTTGCTATATTTTTGCATATCTTCACAGCTACAAGATCAGGCAGAGTCTGAGATCAATGTATGAAAAATTTATGGGGACCACTTGAAACTGGAGGATTTAGCACCACTGAATTCAAAATGAAAGCAGCATTGGAACACTAAACTGCATGTGGCAGAAAAAGGCAGAAAGAGTAGTTGCATGTAAATGTTAAATCAGAGCGTATACTAATTCCTTTCCTTGTTGGCAAAAAAAAAAAATAACATATCAAATCTTTGTTGCTGGATTTTATGCAAAGTTTAACAGCACTGACCATCTACTACTGCACTGCCACACAACAAAATGGCTTTCTATCATAAAACATTGACCACTCAACAGCATTTGATGTCAAAGATTCCTCAGCAGTCTAATTTTGCTATGACTGTCCAGCTGGGCAATTTTCCCTGCACTGGGAGATTCTGACTGGCTGAAGAAAAAATCAGTTATTTCTACTGGAATATATTACTGTTAGAGGATCTCTTTATCCTTTCTTTCTTCTTTCATCCTTTCTTCTCCATGTCTTCTCTCTGAGACATGCCATTAGATATTCTTTTAATCATGTGACAGCACCATGCTGGTTTCATAATGTTTCATCTGCTCATATTTAAGACTTCCTGCACCTCAGCTAAAGTGATTATAGAAGGGTAGGACCCCCTGCTAGATTGGGCAAGCTGATGATGGGAGCAATAGCAACATGAAAACTGTCAATATTAGTCTGACTCAGGTCGCTGCAATCCACATTTTACTCTTTAATATTTAACTTTGTGACAGAAAGTGGCAAGGAGGGCATTCCCCATTTCCTTAAAATTGCTGCTGCATGAAATCTGGTGATAAGCACTGCATTCCCCTCTTCCTCCATTACTGCCTTGCAAGTCTGGTAGCCCCCATTCCTCCATCTCTTTTGCTTTGTAGTTCAGATCTAGCAACCTTTCTCTTGTGACATTCCAAAAGAACACCCATATATTTCCCTCTGTACTTTTGCTATCTGCCAGCATGTCAGTGGGAATGCAATTCCCATATATAGAACAATAGGCAGTGTCACAGCCTTAAACGCTGCCACTTTTCCAGCAAAGGATAGTGTCCTTCCAGACCATAACCAAAATATTTGCCATAGCCTTGCCATCACTTTTTCCCCATGCTGTATTACCTTTTCCTTCAGCGTCCATTGGGATCCCAAGCACTCTGATTTCTCTCTCTCTTATATGAAGGCCCAAATTCCCCAAGTCCCTCCAGATCCCCACTCTCCTTATGATGCTTTTCCATCTATTTAGTTTAGCCCCTGTTGCTTCTTCATACTCTGATGTATGCTTTAGTACCCTTTCCATCAAAAGTCTTTCTCCAACTATTACATTTCAGAAGTGCCTGGGGGTCTTTAAGAGGAGGTTAGATGAACACCTCGCTGGGGTTGTTTGACCCCAGTACTTTTTCCTGCCATGGCAGGGGGTCGGACTTGATGATCTGCTCAGGTCCCTTCCGATCCTACCAGCTATGAAACTATAGGTGCAGCTCCCAGCTGTAACTCAGAACTTTTTCTGCAAAATGTCTCTTACAGTGTTACCCCAAACCAAACAGAAGTTTACTGTTGGTTTCAGGGAGGAGGGGAATCTAGCTGTGGGCTGGGAGCCTGCACCCAGGTTCCCATAGCAATGGCCAGGGCTCTTGGCCAGGGCTTGCTGTTTTCAGAATGGGAGGGGCAAACGCAGCGGAGGGAGCTCCCCAGCCAGTGCTGAAGAGTGGGGTGGGTGAATTGGAATGCCCCCCACCTTTGAGGGGGCTCACATACACCTATCCCACCCTCTGGGGGGAGCTGGAAAAAACTACAGACTGAACTCACTCCACTCCCTTTCCCACCTCTCATTCTGAAAACAGCTCAAGGCTGGGAGCTGCGCAGATGCAAGTTACAGAAGATGCTATATTTTGAAACATCTTTATCTGATACTTTATGCAATGAGAGGTCAGATTTTCACCTGATAGGCCATTTTCTAAGCTGTCTGCAGCTGTGCACTTGTTTGGTCATGTCTATAAGCTGCTTTCTGTGGTCAGATTGGGCAAATATTGACAATTTTGTCTGAGCTCTTATAGTCCATATTAAGGAGTGTAATTGGTCTCCAGTTTTTCAGAAGTTCCTTCTCCCCTTTCTTGAAGAGTAAGATTACAATGCCTCTTGTAAAATATTTCACTCTGTTCTGTTTCCTCTATTTTCTCAAAAACTTCCACTATATCCCTCCCTGCCTGTGCCCAAAACTCCTCATAAAATTCTATAGGCAGTCCAACTGCTCCTGGTGATTTCCCTCTTTTAAAGGTTTTTAAACACTCCTCCACCTCCTTTAAACTTACCTTTTCTTCCATCTCCTTTGCTTCTTCCGCCTCTACTTTCTCTTCAGTCTCTTCCAAAGAATCCTCCATCTTCTTCCTGTCTGCTTTCTTCTTCTGGTAAAGCTCTTCATAAAATCTTCTCATCACCTCCCAACACCTCCTCTGGCTTTTCCACCTGTGCACCCCCTTCTTCCCACACTGCTTTAAGCTCTCCTTTTGCCGCCTTCACTCTGGCCAAAAAGTATCAGGACCACTCTTTGTTCTCTCCCACCCAGGGGCTTGTCCTAAGAACATTTTCTCTCTCATCTTCCTTTTAAACCAAGTTTCTAACTCTTGCCTTGTTTCTTGTAGCTCTTCTCATCCCTATCTTCCTTCTGCTGCTTCCTTTAGCAGCTCTAGCATCTTTCTTTGCAACTCTCCTAGCTGTTTCATTCTTTTCCCTGTGCATCTTCGGGCTTCCTTCCTGAAGAATTCTCCTGTTCTCTTCTTCACCATCATCCACCATTCTCTGGTACTCACAAAATATTTCTTCAGCGTTCGCCACCCCACATACTGTCTTGTGCATGCTTGACATATCTCTTCATCTACATCTACAACCGCATATTTAACTTCCACAGTCCCTTCACTCTCATGGCACTTTTACCAAGACTCATTTTTACTTTCAGCATCCAGTGTTCACTAAAAGCAACATGTATGGTTTCTTTCTTCCTTATGCCTATTTCTTTTGATGCAAACACAAAGTCAGTTCTTGATTGTTTCTTTCCACTGAGGTCTGTTCTAGTGAAAACTTTCTACCCTGTCTACACATCTCTTAGCAATTCCTCTTTTATTATATTTATTGACAGTCTGGATGAGCTGTCTAAAGCTCCATTTCCTCCTTCCCTTCTTCTACAACTGAAATCTCCTGCTATTGTGCACAGTCTCCCTCCGACCACGTAAAACACTTCCTAAGCAGCACATTCCTTCCCTCACTCTCCTGAGGTGTATATACATTAAAAATGTCTAATTCTCTTCCCCCAACTGATAATATCATTCATTACAATCTGCCACTGATGACTTCTTCTACCTTCTTTGTTCTCAGCTCTGAGTTCTTGAATAATATTGCTATCCCTGCTGCTTTGTTCTCATTTGTCCCCGACCACCAAGTTAATTCTTAACTCCACCTTTCTCAAGGTTTTGGGTAGACCTTTTCTCAAAACATTTATAATCCCTCTCCCCTGGTATACGACATCCTTGTAGGCAGATTGTCTGCACTTACTTACTTCAATCTGTTCCCATCTTTCCTTGTTAAGATGTTCTTGACATTAAATGAAACTATTGTCAATGCCATTTATGCATGTTTTAAAATAAGTGTGCCTGTCCCTTGAAGGTTCCTCCACGCTTGCTTTGAACTGAGTGCACCTGTCTCTTTAAGGTTCTTCTATGTCACTGCTCAGGATGGTCATCTCCTACCCCTCTCTCACTTGCATTCCTATAGCCCTTGCAAGCTGCTGGATTGCTTTCACATTTAGGAAGGTTTGCATATTCCTGCCTCCCCTCTTCTGCCCACCTTCTGGGGTTCATGTACATGCCATGATTTTTGCCTTTTCATGTGCTGCAACTGTATGTCTGTTTGCATGAGTGGGATTTCCCAACACTTTAAAAGTCTTTCTTTTGCATTCAAAGTCTTTCTTGTGCATTCAGCTAAAACTCCTCTGACATAGTTTAGTTTGGCTCACTGGGAATTAAAGCATTGTGTCCATTGATTCATTGCGTGCAAACACAAAGGCACTCAAAGACATGTAATGAGCCTCTTTGTTCACCAGATGGCGCTGCAACTTTTTTGTAGTTCACCCCTTCGAATTGCTTTTGCTTTCAAATTGCTTTTTTTTCTTGTGTGGTTTGCAGTTCCCTGCTTCCAGAGCTGCGTGGCAGAGCATGGGCACCGGGTGGGTGGGGAGCCCTGGGCAGGGTGGGGCAGTGCTGGACCATCCTGCTCTCTGTGGTGCTGGCCAAGGACCCAGCTTAATTTATTTGAAAACCTAGTGCAGGTAAACGCAAATGTGATGCTCCAAGACTTAATTCTTTTGAAAACCTAGTGCGTGAAAACTCAGATGTAACGCTCCAAAATAAACAAGATTAACTTTTATAAACCTGTTTACTTTAATGAGGATTAAAACCTGTGGTGTGTATAGATGTCCCTGGTCTCCATTCCAGATGAAAGCCCAGAGGTGTTAGCAGCAGGAAACTACTCTCTGGTTCTTCCTCTAACTCGCCTCCCTCGTTATCAGGTTTCTTTTTCCTGGTCTTCAACCCCTGCATTTCCTTTCTTTTCCTGGCCTGTCTCTCTGGTTCTTTCTCTTGCTCCATCTCCACTTCTGTTATGTGTAGGGCATGTTCTTTCTTCCCCTCCTCCACCTCCATGTCTGAGCTGTTTGCTGTTGCTACTTTCTCTTCCATTCTATCACCTATCTCCTCCTGCACTGTCAATCACAGAAATGTAGCTCCCCTCCTTCTCTGTTCTACCCTCCCATGGGGTCTCTTCCACCATTCCTACCTCAGTGTCCAACCCCTACTCTCCTCTGCTCTCCTCCTCTCTCTTACAAACAATGCATTTTAGGGACTCCTGGCACTCTGCTGCTCCATGCCCCATCCCTTCACATCTGTAGCACACTATGAAGGGGTAGTGTGCAGACAGGTGTTCCACCTTTCCACATTTCCTGCATTGTTTTTGTTGCCCGTGGTACATTATAAAACCCTGATATGTCCTAATCTGCATCACTGATGGGAGGTGCAACACCCCACCTGGGCTCCACTCATCTGCTTGTAACAGTACTCATGCCTTCCAAGACCCCATCCAGATACCATAATTGTCCCTTACTTTCTCTACCAACATGATGCTTCAGATGTATTTTTCCATCCATCTTTCTATGTCTTTTCCTCTAGCATATATTCAAACTATAATCACTCTTTCTCTTGACTTTTCGCCTGCTATGAACTTTATCTCTCTTAATTCCTCCCTCCCACATTTCTCTGCATATTTCTTCCAAAAGTTCTCATACGTTTCTCCATCCCAGTAAGTCAATTCCCAACTCTTTCAATTGAAGAAAGCAATCAGGCTGGTGAGATGTTGCACCTGTACCTCCAAAATCTCAAACAGTACCTTTTCCAGGAAATCATATCTGTTCGTTGTCAATGCCATCTGCCTCCAGTCACCAGTTAGAATTGACTTTATCCACAGCCTCCACTCCTCTCTAGCTTCTTTCAGTGTCTCTTCCATGTTTTCCTACTGTGCCACTCCTGGTGGACCAGCCTGCTATCATGCTCCCACTGTCCTCTGCTTCTCTCCTGCTGTTCCTGTTCTGTCTCCTTATGTACTTTGCTCCTGTCTTCTTTCTGGTATCATTGCTCTCATCCTTGCTGCCTCAAACGTTGCTCCTGCTGTCACCTTCTTTCATCCTTTCTTCTCCACCTTCCCTCTCTCTCTCTCTCTCTCTCTCTCTCTCTCTCCAGATCTTCATTGCTGCTCTCTAACTCTTTTTTCCATCTAATGCTTATTTGCCACCACTGCTGTTGTTTTGAGCTTTGGGTGTCCCTCCTCCACTCTTACATCCCAAACCTCTGTTTATCTCTCTGTAGAAAGTGCCATCCTACCCGACTTTCTACCATATTCTTTCTGGTACCAGATTACAAGGTAGGGAGAACATGTGATCACTGGGTGCATGTGGACAAAAAGACATGCTCTCAGATATTCTACTAGGGACTTAGTGTGTGTATGTACCTTTAATTAATCAAGGGAAGAAGGATTAAAATCAATGTCACATTACAGTGTTCCTCCATACTAAACCAAGAGGGAAAGAAACCATGGTACATACTGTGTTTATGTCATTTTTATTCCTTTTTTTGGTTATGTTAGGAAGCAGCATGGGGAGAGTGAACTATTAGCACTGCTTGTTTGTTTTCTTTGAAAAATAGTCCTTAAACTATTATGGTTAAATAATTAATTCTGAACATGCATTACATTGCATTCCCTTTTTGAAACAAAGCTGAAGGCATGCCAAAGAAAAAAGCAGTAGCAAACACTTGGCAGCTTTTCTCCCCAGCTCTGTGCATAGAATTGTACAATATGCAGCCCAGATCAAACAACTGGAGCCAAAATGTGTCCATCTTTCATTCTGTACTAACTACAGTAGGAAATTATATTAATTCTACTTGATCCAATTCATCAGTGCCAATAATGCATCATGCTGTACTATTTATAAAAATGTTATGCTGTGCTTTTGTTAAAACATGTAACTGCCCTTTCTTTGGATTCATGCTTTTTCCTCTGTGGCTAGCTGAGGTTAATACCGTACCAAGAATTAGCAGTTAGACATTTCCTGTATTTTGTTTTCACTGTATAAATTCAAACATGGTGCTATCCAGAAGCTAATCTTTGATCACTAGTCCTTGCTGAAGTTTTATTTTGATTGGTTGGTATGGTCTTGGATAATTCATGATCAAAACAATTGTCAGGTTCTTGCTAATGATTAAACATCTGAATGTAACTCCTCTGAAAGCAGAGGTGTCTGTAGGTGCAGCAGGAAGTCATTATGCCCGTAACATACCCAGACCATACTCTCCTGCAGTCTCTACAACTATACCATAAGATCTACATAATGGCTATCCAATTTGTCTCCTTCTTAGTGTCTTCTCTTGCTTACCTGATTGCTCCCTTACATAATGCTGATTTGGGTGTGCCTTTTCCTTTGCTCCCTTCCTTAGCTGTCTTATTTGGCCCCTACCTTTTTTGGAGTTCTCCATCACTGATGGGTTTCCCTCCTCCCTCATACTGAGGCAAATTCAAGTACCACATGGTACTGATAACAGATAAATTGGACAAATGGGGCTTTCCATTAAATCCATCTAGCCTGCCTTGTGTTTTCATTGCAATCAAGTTTGTATGCAGTGTAACAGTGGTGTTGTACCTTTCGTGGTCCAGAAATTATGTGAGACAAGGATTTCTTAGGGACCAACTATTTGGTCTAGTAAAAAATATGGCCATAAAACATCCTTGTCTCTCGCATATTAACTACAGAAAATATGTAAGTAATAATCAGACAAAGACAGCCATAGAAGAACTGCCAGCAGTACCTAGACCAGCATAACCACCAAAGATCAGAATAACTGACTTTAATTAAATCAAGACATTTATCCCTCTTCTATAATCATTTAATAATTAGGGTTACCTAATCTAACGTGAGCTCCATCCTATAGTTCTTACATGGCCAAACTAAACTGCTCTCTAAAAATAACAGGAGTCTTTGGGCGCCTCTAGAGCTAATTAAAGTCAAGGCATTTTTCCGTTGGGTTCCATAGGGTTTAGATGATGTCTTTTTGGCAACTGGATTGAACTTTCCTGAACATTCCCTTTTCCTTTTGCACTTTCCAACAGTTTAAACAACATGTATCATTCTAGCTTCATTTTTATTTGTAATTAAGAATATTTTAATGTAAAAACTTGATCTTCTTTGGCATGTTCTGTGTTGAAAATACTGTCTTAAATTCTGTCTCACCAAGGGTCTCTTCCTCTTCACTGATTTTCCTTGGTCTTAAGGCTGAGATGAAGGTGTATTGCAAAGCTGACCCATTAATGTTTGTTTTCAGGGACTTGCACAAGGTAAAATAGGATTGTACTACGTACCAATTAGGCATCTAAAAAATTTAATGGAATTTCAACAATTTTCTTCATTTTATGTAAAATGAAAGCCCGTTTTGGGAAAGGTGATTTTTATTAAATTTGAAGGATCTGTATCTCTTTATATAGTCTTTATGTCTTTATCTTTTTGTGCATTGTAGAGTACACTGGATGCCTAGATAAGCGAGATCTAGCTATATACAGCCTCATCTGTCTGTGTCAGTATTTGCATGATTACCCATCACACAAATAACTAAACACCTTTCACATGTAGCATGAACCCTAATTTGGGGTCAAACTATGAAATTTCCAATTTATGAGCCCAATTCCGAATGAGTCCTGAGGGCCAATGGATGCCTCACATCATTGGAGTCAGTCAGAAGGATGGTGCTCTTCATCACCTCCTTGATTTGTATCGCCAGATCCAAAACTGATAGAACAGGATTCTGGAGGATTTTTCTCACAGTTCAGAAATGTTTTGCTAGAAATATTTTGAGGAGAAAGTGGTCCAAGCAAAATAAGCTTGATCAAGTGTTCTTTAGAGAACATGGAAGTCCTTAGTATCCAAAACAGGTCTTCCAACTATTCCCCCATCACCACATACAAGTGAAGGTTTAGAGCCATGTTTAACATGCTTTCCACTATAACACATTATTCTTAATCTCAAGTCTTACACAACATACCTGTAGATAAATCTCATAATTAGCAATTTAAAAAAATTCTGTTTGCTGTAGCTCTATGGATGACATGGACATCCTGCATGGCAGCTGACAATAAACTCTGTAGCATGCCCTTAATGCAGAAAATTCTATAACAGCCAAAGTTTTAGTTGGTCATATCCTGTGCACTTCAAAATGTGTGAAGTGTCCTCTTTTCCATATTTCAATAATGATATTTTAATGTATTCTGCTTTGATACTTTTATTTTGCTTACCTTAAACATCTTGTTTAAATATGAAGCAGTAAAAGCTTTCGTTTTAAATCCATATTACATCAAGATGGAAAGTGGTTTTACTCTGATGCTTTATTTCACACTTAACACACAAAGTGTTTTCCATCATGTGGACTTGCAGATAACTATGCTAACAAAGGAACTAGTTTGCTTTACAGTTCTAAAGCTTTATCCTCGTAATTGTTGTCTATAATGGCTACAAATAACACCAAAAATTGCTTACATAATTTTCAGGGACCAAGAGGTCTTGATGGTCCTCCAGGAGAGCCAGGGACACAAGGTATTAAGGTAATTATTCACTTGCTTTATTCAGTGCTCCAGAGGCTGCTTGTGTATCATAGGGTGTCAACTGACAGTAAAACAAAGCACAAGGAGACACCATGGGACACTTATGAGTTTCCTATGATTCCAGTGAGGCACCCTAAATTTTTGGCTTCTTTCAGATGTTTTTTGTTTCCGTAGTACATGGACATCATTGTCTGAATTCTGTTCTTATCTATTTTGGAGATAACCTATACATTACTCCGTCATCTAAAATGGAGTTACTCCACATTTTTGAGAGCATAAGTGACAATAGCAGAATTTTGGGGAGAGCTTTTTTTTCCTGCATGTATAATTTTTTTCTGTGCATTTGGCTGCAAATTTATATTGAAATGAAAATTTATATTGAACTAACTTGTTCTTATTTGTTTTTATCAGGGAGAAAGAGGTGATCCAGGGAAAAAGGGCATTCATGGACTTATTGTAAGTATCAGAGCTGTTCTTTGTATAAGGTTTTAATCCACAGCACTGATTGTTGCTTGACATTGATTTGTAATTTATCTGAAATCTGTATTCTCTTTCAATCATTTTATTTAACTAGGGCAAGGCTGGAAACCCTGGAGAACAAGGAGATCAGGGAGTACCAGTAAGTAGTGAAATCCTATAACCTCTAAAAAAACCAAAACAAAAACCCCAAACAAATCAAAACCTTGCCTCGGAAGGCAATTATTGAATTAATATCAGCTGTTTACCTCTGACCATTACAGTTTGTGTTTAGGATCCATAAAGCCTTTCATCTGTGGATCCTGAGGGGTTATTAAAAACACCAATTTTTGAAGCAATGAAATTCCTCTGGATCCTTGCACCCACTATTTAAGAATTTGTGACAATCAGAGTGACTTGCTCAAGGTCAAACAAAGAATCAGGGGCATGTATGGGCAGGAAGGTGAACTACCATGTTCACTTGAATCCAAAACAAGTCCCCCTCCACCATTTAATGAAGGGGGAAGGGCCCCTCATCTTGGATTGAAGTACAAGACAGTAGAAGGGGGCAAGGGCTGATGGCTGCTGTAGTTCCAACTCCAGCCCCAACCTGGGGTCAGGGTTGGGGTCAGAGCTGCAGCCACTGCCTATCCCCTCTCCCACTCCCTGATGGCCTCTGCCCTGCCCCCTGTCACCTCTGTTTGCCTTCCAGCTCCAATTCTGGCAGAGCTGCAGCCCTGTACGAGCCCAGAGCATGAAGCACATGGTTGCTCTGGCCCAGCTAGGCCTGGTACCAGAGGCAGCAGTAGCAGCAGCTTTGGCTCAGGCTCTGGCTCCAAGACCCAGCCAGAAGAGCCACTGCTGCAAAAGCTGCTGCACGGGGGCAGGCATGGAGGGGACAATGGGAAGGAGGGACAGGTGGCAGGGAAGGGACGGACAGGTGCTGGCGTGTGTAGGCATGGGGAGGCAGGTGGGGGAAAGTGGTGTGGAGGACAAGGTAGCAAGGGACAAGGTGTGGGGGAATAAGGGACAGTGTCCCCCCACTGCCTGTCCTCCCACTGTCTCCCCCACCACTTGTCCCCTACTGCCTCCCCCACTGCCTTCCCCCCTGCCTGTGCTTTCCCCACTGTGGCAGGTGGGGGAACAAATTTAAGATGTCCCTCCAATAATTAGATTTTACACATGGAAAACTATAAAAATGTACAGGTTACCTTTGCTTTATGTGGGTTCTGTATGTGTGCATTTGCTCTTATGCAATGAACCTTTTTATACCAAAAATTAATTATATGCGAGGTAAATTCACTCTTATGCGATCAGTGTGGTGGAAACCTGCAGTTAGCTGCTTTGTGCAGTGCATTATGGGAGTGACGTGCACCGAAATATAGTCTCCTGTGTGTATCTGTGCTCCTCACTCATCTGCAACACGTGTTTCTGTAGTTGCCATCCCCATTACACCTTCTAAGCATCCCGCTAGCTTATCTTCTACCCACCTCCCTGGTCCATCAATGACCACCCTCTCTTCACACCCTCTCTTCACACCACCTAAACATTCACCACCACCCTGTGCTTGTGTGTTCTGTCTGCTGTTGGTGAGTACCAAAATTGTCTTATAAAAGTGGTAGAAATGGGTCTCGGGGTCAGTACAGTCGAGATCTTGGAATGTATCCCTATTTGTTACATTGCAAAGTGGGTTCTCTTTATGCGAATTCGAGTCATGTGCCATTTTCCAGGAACGCATGTACAGCATAAAATGAAGGAAACCTGTATATATTTTCCATGTACAGAATCCATTTAGTGGGAGTTCATCTTAAATTCAGAGTTATCTTGGATTTAGGTAAATATGGTAATTGACAAGAAGAACAGCAGAAACCAAAGGACTGAAGCACTTATATTAGCAGTACAGAGTTCTGAGACCAACAGTATTGGTTGTTTTTCAAAATGAGCCACTTGACAGCTTTTCCTATTTCCCTAGAATTTATGAGTTTCTAGTACCTTGTCAGTTATTCCACAGAAGAACATGGATATCACCTTTACTCCATTCAGAGGCAGATCCAGGAAGTGTGGGAGCAGTGGCTGACACTGCAGGGGTAATTGTACTCCCTGCGTCCAGCCCCCCACTCACTGGGGCAGGCAGACCATGCTGCAGGAGCAGTACCCAGGGACTTCTTTTAAGTTCCTCAATCAAGAAACATACTCAGCGACACATCCCCTCCCCTCCCTTCCTCCCACTTCCCTGCCCACCACTGCCACTGTCCCACCTGGCCCCAGCTGACCCAGGGACAAGGTGGAATAAGGTTCTAGGACCACTCATGTCCCACTCCAGCCTGGTTGCACATGGAGCTAGGCTCTGCCAGAGACAGCAGTGGCAGCAGAGATGGGTTATCTTACCCTGCACCTACTCCTGGGCTGGTATGGAACACCTGTGGGGACTGGGCAGGGAGAATGAACCTACCCTCTGCTGCTGCTGTCCCCAGCTGAGTCTGGCTCCATGCGGAGCTCTGCCAGAGCAGGCAAGAGCAGTTCT